CCAAGCCTCATACGATGTGGGGAAGGCAGAGCCTCTGTGGGGACGCCCACTAAGGATGAGCCTGCCACCTCGCACTGCAATAATGCTTCTCGGAGCTGGTTTCCTGTTAGTCTCCACAGGGTCCTTGTGCCACATTCTGTATGTGGGGCTGTAGTGGGAGTAATGATTGTCTGGATTTTGTGCTTCAAATATTGTAGTTGTGTGGCGTGTGCTTGTGGGATCCCATATGTGTGTGTGTGTGTGTGTGTGTGTGTGTGTGTGTGTGTGTGTGTTGAGGGCAGACAGTGTTCTGTGTATTTTTTGTTGTTGGGTTCATGTAAAAGTTTTTAACCGGTAGCAGTTTAACATTTCGGGCAAGAAAGGGTTAATACAAAAGTAAGGTTGCCGGCTGGTATTTATGGTTGCTGCTGAAGCAGGCAGGCAGCTGTAGCTGCTGCCGAGCAGGCACGCTTTTATGGCTGCTGCCGAGCAGGCCGGCGTTTGTAGCTGTGCAAAGCAGGGTGAGCGACTTTTAAAAAAAAACAAAAACACAACAAACAAACAAACAAAAAAAACCAAAACAAAACAAAAAAACCTGACCTCCAATTCAGCTCCTAGTGCTCCACCGGCGGAACAGCCAGGATGGACGCCAGAGCCGAGGAGTGAAGAAAAAAAAAACCAACAAAACAAACAAACCAATAAAAAACAAAACAAAACAAAGCAAAACCCAACCCCTCAATCTATTGCGGTACTGAGGCAGTTTGTAGAGACACCACAGACAAAGCCTAAAGAGCACCCGAAACACAGTGGGTGCATGGTAGGAGCCTTGCTTAGTATGTTTAAGGTAACCTGGGGGTGAATCCAAGCCTTGGAGGAATAGAGGAATAGATAGATCGGTTGAAATAAGAACTGCTAACTAAAAAAGCGAGTGGGGTAGTGCAACCACAAGCTTTATGAGCCATCACCTAAGCAGCATCAGGGTGACAGAAAAAAAAAAAAAAAAAAAGAGGCAATGATGCATCAAACTCCGTGACTGTTAACAATGTGCAGTTTAACCTGTCTGCTTCTCAAGAACTGATAACCTGGAGGAGGGGGTATATATGTGTCCTCCTGCCTACAGGTCCATGGCGACTGCCTGCAAAGTTTGTCAACCCTTGCCATGAGCTGGACAGACGAATGGAAAAACCTGATGCCTCAGCTACAGGAGCTGACTGTGAGTACCCCAGGCAGCATGAGACAGAGGAAGAGAAAAACTAACGATTGCAAAACATCACTTGGGGACAACTGAAAAGTAACATCCTGAATATGTGTGCTTGTAAAGTAGCTATTATTAGAGGCTGTGATTTTGTGTATAAAACCACCTGTATTTACTAGCCAGTTGCTAATGAAGAACTACACCTTGTATTGTATGGATTTGTCACTTGTAAAAGAAATGCTAAGAGTACGGAAATTTGCAGTAGCTGCTAGAAAATGCTAAGGCAAAAGCTGGAAAGATTCTAACACAATGGTAGTGTTATAAAGCAGGTGATGGAACAAATTAAGAGGGTGGGAGAATTCCACTGGTAAGAAATTTCTTTGGCTAGTCCCTCGCTGCCATCAGCATCTTCAACATGCTGCTGCACCCTGTAATAGTCACTCTGCTAATGTAAATTTGTGTGTGCCTTGCTGTAGTAGCGACTTGTTACTGGATGAAGCAGGTGAAACTCTGCATTGACAACAAGGTGCAAGGACTGAGGCTGACAAAATGCCTGCTACCACAGTCAAGGGCAAGACTGGGTTGGCCTCTGTGTTTGCCACCAAGAAGAACCTTTAGCTCCGCTGTTGGCTGCAACCCAGCAGGCGTGAAGCGGTGGGGACACATGCCATGCCAGACCTTGATGTGAAGGATGGCCTCCCCTGTTATCAGAGAGCCATACAGCAGAAAAAAGGGGCAGGCCCAGCAGCCTGTAGTTGGCATATGTTGGAGATATGATCTAGCCCAAATCCCCTGCTCAAGTAGGGTCACCCAAAACATATATAAAACAAAAAGGGGGAGATGTGGAGACAGTGCTCTCACAGGAGAATGCATAAGTAGTACATAAACTCTGAATAATCCTGAAAGATACAGCAAGGCCATGAGAGGCCCGAAGAAGCTTAAGCAAGCAAGATAAGAAGCTGGAATTCACTGAGCTAATGAGAACTGTGGACTGTTGGCAAGCTTTCGTAGGTCGAGTTCTCACACCTGTGTTTAACCAATTATATGTTAGTCACTAAGGGTCTTCAAGACATGTACCCAATCATAATAGGCCAAATGACTGTAAGTGCATGTAAGAAACAGTATATAAGGAGTTAAGGCTTTGTAATAAATTTGGCAATCGCTTGATCACATTGATCATCTCTGCATTGTCCGTGACTCCCGCGTCAACAGTAACTCACTGAATAACTCTCATACTAATTTGATGACATTTTAATCTCACTGGTGGTTTGGCTTGAACCAGCAAACCAAAGGATCCATATCTGCTTCGCCCCTGACACCATCCCCTAGGAGAGCTTTTGTGGGGGTCTCTTTATGAAACACATTAAGGGATTTGTTTGGACAGAAACGAGAATACAGTTTTACCATTTCTTTGTCTTTCATGCACAAGTAATGCACTTAGCTACCTTTTTCTCTTTTGATCATCTCCCACTCACAATACTTCCTAGCATAAACTACCCTACCAACTCTTCATTCAAGAACATAGCACTCTTTTGTGACAATACTATCTCCTCATCAAGGACAAGTGAGGTACAGAGAATTCTCATTTGAAAACACAGTTGTTCTGATTCACCAGAATTCTGTACAAGATTGACACCAGGGGAATAAGAACAGGGAGTTTTGGTCTAACACATCACAACACAACACAGCACAGAACAGAAGAAACTTCTCTGGAGGCTTTTCTCTTCCTTCCCCAAATACCAGTTTCACAGATAAACTTCTGCTGCAGATTGCCAGGCCTCAGATGTGTAGCTCCCTAATGACTGTGCTAGTAGAGAAGGGAAGAATTGCAGGCATTTTAAATAATGCTTGTATTATTTTCCCTACTACCAAAATGGATGAGATGACTTCTTGTGAAGAGTGAAGGTGGTAAGATTTGCATGAAAAACAGTCTGGGAATGAGCTCTGAGGGCTTGACACTTAACAAGACCTGGGGCAGTTAAGTTGGAATATTGAAAGACAGCAAAGGTAAACAAGCAAGCCTTGGGGGATTAGGCCAGGATGTTGCTGTAGCAGGGAGTCTCAGTCGAGGCCAGACCAGCGGGTCTGAGACAGCGGGGTGAAACTGTTACAGTGTGTCCTCAGCACTGCAATTGGACTATTTACCTGGGGATTTTTACAGGGGCCAATGAGACTGAACATGGCATGCTTGTGCAGGTTGGGAAAGTACCGAACAAGGGGATAAAGAGGACTTGATTGTAATAAGGTTGGATTTGTGTCTCCTCATCATCTTGAGTCCGTGTCATGATACACCACAACTTCTCTCTTCCAGGTTTACAAGAATATATCTTACTTAAATCTCCTAGGGATCAATATAGCTTAAAATAAAACTCTTACTTATTTCCCTTTTATACTTAGGAATTTGTAAAAAAAAAAAAAAAAAAGGTATTACATCATCCAATACACAATCAAGACGGCATACGTCACTTTAGGTCCCTTTTTAATCACCAATTCAAAAGAAAGTTTATCTGTGTTTTTAATTCTTTTTCAAACAACAGACAGGAAAACTCCACATTTTGGTAAGATAAGAACTTTTTTCAGAGGGAGTTTGAAAAAGCAAAATCTGTAGGCATACCTATTCCTGGATTTGAAGCAATACTAATTTTGAAGCACACTAACCGTCCAATTTTCTCAGGAGCTTATGCCTGGAAAACTGATATGTATAGAGTTCACATATATTATTCAGTGCCATATACAGATCTCCATTTGCTTTGTCAGTAGTTCCTCAGTGCTCACATCAAAATGAGACGTCCCCACCAACATTCAACTACTTGTCTACAATTAACTTGTGTGCTGTCTCCCAAGCTTCTTTGACAGAAATAAATACTGCTCAGCAGGTTGTCTAATGAGATAAGACTCACAAGCACCTTTACAAAACACTGTTAGCAAAGGCTTCCACTGTATGGAGAAGCAGTGGCACAATAGGGTAAGATAGCAAACAGGAGAATCTCTTTTCTAATAGGAACAGTCAGAATGCAGATATTTAGTCCTGTTTGTTTCTTTTGATGGACATAAGCAATATCTAAGGGCAACATAAGTTGTAAAATCTTTCTTAGACACTGGAGAAGAAGGGGAAAAGACAAGTTCATATGCCCATGCTTGTCTGGTCATTTGTGCACCCAATGAAAAGATTGAAGAAAAGAAGTATCTGTACAGCTGCTGGTATTGCTACCATGGTAACACTAAAATGCTAAGATCTGTCTCAGGTTCTTCTCTATTTGCATTCTGGCTTTATAGTTTCTAAGACCATGATTGACAGTTATCCTCCACAATCTAGTGATTAACCTTATCTTTGTTGGTCTGGCTCCATCATATAATACATGTCAGAAGACAAAGTGGTGTAAAAGTAATGTACAATTTTGAGAACTATTGAGAATTTTCCATGCATGCTTGGGCCTTGATCCACATTCCTTCTAGTATCTAGACTGTGATCATGCAATCACCTCACCCTTACATAGACTATAGAGCAGAAATGCTCAGTAGAGTGAAACCCTTGCCCTGATTCCACAATAAACAAACAAATTTGAGTTAGATCAGGTTGCAGCAAGACATTTTGTCACAAGAAGTCAGCCAATAGCTGACCTACTATTTGGCCCAGGGGAAAAAGAGAAAAATCCTTGTCAAAAATGTCTTGAACTGGCAGAGGAAGTTTATACCAGATCTGCACTTACCTGTGGTAGAAGAATTTTTGATCTGCAGAAGGAGATGAAGTCAGATCTACTGTATTGTCACACGTTGGCCTAAGGATCTCAGAAGACAACACTGCATACAGGAGAAATGTACTCACCTCTTCAACTCAGCAACGAGCAAAGCTGTGCAGGGAACACCCAGAGTCATTAGTGAAATGTTGTTGATGGCAGGCTTAATGAAGGCAAGGCAGGTAGTAACTCCAGACAGGACACCTACAGCAGCTTTAAATCGGCTCCTGAATAGGATTTTTGGGGGGAGAAAATTTCTAATTACTAAATTCTAAATACTAAACCCACAATTCTTAAAATTATGTTCATAACAGGCTTATAATAAACACCTAGACTTTGAATACTTAAACACCATCCTTAACCACTGCCTTAATTATTCCGACGAAAATACAGCTGACTTCCATAGGTCCACCTTCATGCACACTTAGGCTATACAGAAGGAAGAAGGTAAGAGGGTTTCCCTTACTTTAGCTGCAGCTTATGTAAGCTACTCATGTAAAGGTCTCCCTAGAATCAACAAGAACAAGCACTTCCAGAGGCAACTCACCTCATCCCAAGATCTGAAGTTACAGGGCATAAACCATCAGCAACTGCAGACTTGGGAATTCTGAAAAAAATGGGCTGAGATCATAGAATCACAGAATGGTTAGGGTTGGAAAGGCCCTTCAGATCATCTAGTTCCAACCCCCCTACCATGGACAGGGACATCTCACGCTAGACCATGTTACCCAAGACTTCGTCCAACCTGGCCTTGAACACAGCCAGGGATGGAGCATTCACAACATCCTTGGGCAACCCATTCCAGTGTCTCACCACTCTTACAGTAAAGAATTTCTTCCTAAACTTCCCCTGTTTAAGTCTGAACCCGTTACCCCTTGTCCTCTTGCTACAGTTCCTAATGAAGAGCCCCTCTCCAGCATCCTGGAAGCCTGCTATGAGGTCTCCACACAGCCTGCTCTTCTCCAGGCTACAAGCAATAGGAAGAGAATGGAGTGAGAAAAAGTAGTGGTGGCAGCGCTAAGGTTGGATGACAACTCAGTGCCATTATGTGCAGATTTAGGTATCAGCATAAGAAGTTTCAACAAACATGAAAATATACATGTATGATTGTATGTTTACCTGTCATTCCGAAAAACTTTGGGCAGGTATCTCCTAGGGAACCACATGGCAAAAGCACACATCAGGACCCAGAGAATAGCCAGCTCATCCAGCATCTGGCCCAGGAAACTGAGGGTGGCGTGGAAGTAAACAGATCCAATTCCTGGAATAATCAATAAAAAAGGCATTATGAACAGTTGCAGTACTATAGAGATCAAAACATGCTGTGCATGTTCAGAATTTCATAGCAAATGATGGATACCATTTGGCCTAGAAAAGATTTTTAAAAAAAAAGAACAAATCCAAACAACCAAAACACAAATGCCAACTTTCCAAAGAAGGCAATCCAAATCATCAGCACCTCATTAATAAAGAAGCAGACCCTTTACAAAAGCAGCAGCTAAAGATGCCAGCTTCTACTAAAAAAGTAGATGTGAAGAACCATCCAGTGGTAAAGTTAAATATAAAACCAATTAAGAAATAAAAGCCAAATGCTGCTTTGGAATTCCCTCAATAGGATGAGAATGGGCAAGACAAAGATCAAAAGTAGCATCTGATGACTACTCCATGATACAGGTTTAGAGGTGAAAAATATCACACTGCCCCCCCACATGGCTCTGATGTAAAAGTTTGTAAGTTGCCAGTGCCTCTAGGAATTAAAAGAATCTTGCATCTACAAAATAGCTAAGCCTTTGGGCCTTCTCACTTAATGCAAAACCTATTACCCTCTTCTGTCGTGCTGGTATCACTAGCACAAACGCTTTCAGCTCTCATTTAAGCAACAGAGGAAAGAGCATCAACACTGCTGGAGAGTGTCCTGGCCCAGTGACAAGATTAAGCACAGATATAAACAAAAGAAGTTATGCAGAAGAAGGATAGGAAGGGAACAGAGCTAATGCCTACGTCCATCAACCTCAAATTGCAAAAAGCATTTTCCTTTCAGAAACCAGGTTGCTTCAGCTCCAAGCAAGTATAACCAAACTACTCCACAGATGTCAAGATTGCTTTGTTTCACAAAACAATCAAGCACAAGCAGGAAAAACTGATTTCCTCTCTCATTTCATGCATGAACAGGGAAATGGAGACTAAGCAACTTACCAACCACAACTAGCAGAGTCCATATTAAATATATTCCGCTGTTGAAACAGGTTGCATATTGACGGAACAAGCACATACATATGGGTGGTAAAACAAAAAACAAGACGTTGCTTATCTAGGGAAAAAAATAAACAAAACAGTTTCACAATGACAGAAAATAAATAAACCTTAAATATTCATAGGCTGCCTGAGACAGTTATAGAAACACTGTGTCATCCAGGGAAGTCCCAGATCAACAAATTAGAGGTCTCAGTTTCTGCCAAAGATGAGCTGGTTTTGCAAAGCATCAACTTGTTTAGTACCATTAAAACCTAGTAAGAGCATAAAACTTTAAACAATGTAAAACTAGTAGCTAGTCACATCATTAAATTACCTTTCAAATCTATTCCCAGAGGAATTTTCTTGCAAATCTACAAATACTCAACTGTTGCAATTCAGGAAGCTTACAAGAACAAACAGCTGAGGAACAGGATGTCCTGACAAGTGACCTTTCCTCTAAGTGGCTGTCAAGCCTAGCATGTAAAAAGCAGTGTAAGTACCGGGTTAATCAAGTTTTGTGGCAGTCAATTCACTGAGCAATAACTACTGTCTGGAAGCTGAAATACAAAACCAAGCTAAAAGTTAGAACCCTTTTTGTGTGGTGTAGAAAGCCTAAAGCTGCAAATCCTTTTACAATTTGTATCTTTTGATTCTCCATTACAAAAACAACTCAGTATGATTGAAAACTGGTTATAGGAAGGTGAAAAGGCTTAGAATTCAAACTACTGTAAGGGGCTTTAATTTAATATGTGAAAGTTCAACAAAAACTTATTTCTCTTGCTTACCAACAATCTAAAACATGGCTCTCTAGTTAAAGGCTGAAAACACTTTACTGGCAATTATCAGGAGCTCTCACTGCAGTCATCACTTGGTTCTCCCCAGAAGGAGCTGCCAGTGCTGAGGGCCAGCTGTGGCACTAGGCAGTTACAGGAAGGCCCTACTGCTGATTCACAATGGGACAGGATGAATTCACCAGCCCCAGTTTCCTTACCTTCCCCCACATATCCCAAGCACAAGAGAAAGTAATTCCCAGCGACATTCCCTAAAGCAGATGTAGAAAACAACTGGGAAAGAGCATTCCCTTGGGACAGGTCCCCTCTTTGCCGAGACCTGTAAACTTTTCCTGACATTAATGAAAATCTGATGGAGAAAGGGTTCAAGAACAACACACAAAAAAGGCATTTGTTCATTTACACCCTGTGCTCCAAAACTCTACATGGTCTGAGGACAGAGCTTATGATGATTAAAACGGACACGTCTATTTAACATCTGCAAGGCCTATCAAAGCATGTTCCTAAGCTGCCATCCAAAATGACAGTGACTACAGAAGCAATTTCTCAGCACCATCTACTTCACATCAGACACCTTCCCTCACACTAAAGGTACATCCTCAACAGGCAAGCTGTGTTTCATTCCAAAGTCTTGGCTTTAAGATTTCATTCAAATACTTAGAAAAAGCAATCACCCACACAGTTCATAGCTGCAAATACTATGCAAATCTCTACCAGCAGCACCCTGGTAATAGCACACAGACCAGCCAAAGACTTGCTAATGCAGAGGGCTCCTTGCAGTCAGGCCAGAGAGCCACCTCCCACTGGACTGCCCTGTCTGAATCAATGCAAGGGTTGAATCCTTCTGCCAGTTACCATCTCCTGCAGCATGCTTGTCATGCAGGAATCCATCTTCATAAAGCAGAAGTACAAACCTGAGGGGCAGCAAGTGCCATAGACCAAGCACCTCTTCAAGTAGGAATAAAAGGACTCATAGTACAGAAATCCTTCACCCCACCAAGGCAGCAAATTCTGCGTTTGTTGTTCACAAATTAAGATGGGTGGAAGGTTGACAATATGGGCATGTGGCAGTGTCAGATTGCAGGATACTGCACAATCCTGGGGAGGCAAGGTAAAGAACAAAGTATTATTTATAAAGTAATATCCTATTTTAGCATATTTTAAGAGGCAGATCTATTTCCTTAATTCATGTGAGACCAAAACATTATTTATAAAGTAATATCGTATTTCAATATATTTTAAGAGACAGATCCATTTCCTTAATTCATGTAAACCAACCTACACATTCAAGCAAACAGGCTCACTTGAGCATCTTCCATTCACAAAAAACTCACCAACTCCACGCAGCAGAGAATGTTAGCAACACTGAGAATAAAGCCATAGGACAGGATCCCAGAGTGCAATGTGCTGACCTAAGCACAGAATGGGAGGGCTCCCCTCACCCCCAAACAGGTAGAATGCATACACAGTGACTGACAGCAGGGATGATGGAATATGAACAAGACCTCTGGGAACCTGGGAGTGCTCTACACATTTTAGGCTTTAAGCCACTGTTAGGCCAAAGGGTGGTGTTAAGGGGGAAAAAATAGATGGTTATAAACAAAGTGGTGTCAAAAAACCCTTTCCATCTCCACAGCTAGGACTAACAAACAAAGAAATCAGACCAGCTAAGTGCAGTCTATACAAATATGGCTAGGAAGTCCTTTTTCTGCCTAGGAAGAACATGATGAAGGAAACACACCTACTTACCATACCTGCAGCAATGAAGGTTTATACTAGCAATTAGACAATTAGCAATTCTGTCCCAAGTTAGTGCGCTTCTGGCACTGAACTCCTGTTCATGCTAAGGTCCTGCCTGCAAATGCAAGAATACCCTTGCAACCTGGATTTGACCATGACTTGTGCTCTTCAAGAAAGCCACCAGGAAGATTTTCTAATATTGTACACATTGAAATAACTTTAGTACTGAAATCCTTTTCTATGAAGTTTTAAAAAAATGTGCTAATATGGTATCTCTTCCATGCAATACGTAGTTCCACAAACTGTATTTTTCACAAACTATATTCAAATCAAGACTCTGGAACATGTTCTGAAACACTTCGCTGAAGTTCTCTTAGTTCCAAGTTCAGTGTCAATAAAAGATATACTACAACTGACCTGCTGCTTTTCCCTCACTGGTATCAGCCTGGCTCCCTATGAGGACACACACCCTTAAATATTCCACAACTAACACCACCCTTTCCAAGCAAGTGAGGCACCTATCCGTTTGGCTCTGGTTTCATGCTGCATGTGCAATTTTTTTTACATAATATACAATTACACTGCATGGCTTCATAATGTATAATTAAAATGATGACACAGTTTAGTGCAACAGTAACAGGAGTATTTTCTTTGGGATCTGCAAAAGACAGGGATTAAAAGTTACTGCCCTCGAAAAAGGTAAGTGGCTCATCATTAACAGTCCATCCTCCATCTTCATGCATTTCTGGACCTTTAGTTTCAATTTCCAACTACTTAATTGTATGAAAGGGATACAGGACATGAGCCACAGAGGGAACACCAGAGGCTTCCTCAGATCATGACCACAAAACTTCACCCGTATTTGGCCACAGTCCTGACAGAGGATGTTTCCTGCAGTCCTGCCAAAGCTCAAGTATTCTTCACTATCCAGTACGCCTCCCAGACAGCAGCTGTAGCATTCAACCACCACAGCAACACTTATTGCACTAACTCTTTGTGAGGAAAAAGTAAAAATAGACTAAGTAGCTCTTGGTGAGTTCACCAAGTTTGTTTCTTTTATATTCTGATCCACGAGCATGCCACTTCCATAAGCGAAAAGACTTCTTTAAGTAAAAAAGATGATGTAGAGAGACTACAAGCATTCTTTTACACTCTTACAACTATCCCACAACTTTTTAAAACTTTCATTTACATACCACTAGGGGACAAAAGTTGAGGAATAAAACCACTGGCAATTCCCTCTTCAAATGGAAATCTGGCAAGAAATACGTATGACATGCACAACTTTATGCAACATACTGAACTGTAAAGTACTTACTTTGGTAACAACAGAGAAAAAAAAGAAAAAAGTTACTGTTTTTGGATGATTGAAACACAAACAACAGCTTTTTTTTTTGTAAATAACTGTGCACTGGATAAATCCTTTTTGCTCATATGGGGGCACTTGTTTGTGTTCTTGAGTAAGTTTAGACTGCATCAGGACACATCACTCATTTGGGGGGGGGGGGGGGGCAGGGGGCAGGGAAAGCCAGTCTTCTTGTAACTGCTCTTTTAATTTCAGTTACAAAGTACTTGATGGCCTTCTTCCTGAAACTGTGTAAGACCTGAACACAAAATCATATCCATCTAACCCACATGTGTTTTAGGAAATTAGGCTGATCAATTTGTACAAAACCTCTGAAAAGATATTCTCCTACTGATTTAATCCTGCCAAGCACTTTGGTTTGCTTTTTAACTAAATCGAGTTAAATTTAGGTATAACATATGAGGATTGAGTCCCATCAGAACAAACCAATGACTAAAGAAAGAAAAACATCAAAACAACAAAAAAAAAACAAACCAAAAACATTTCAGATAGTGTTTCAGTTGTGTGCTTACAGGAATATTGAGTGAGAGGAAGATTGAATGAGCACTTCATCTCTGACCTCGGCCAGACACTTTGAAATGTGGATTAGCAAGGTTTTAATATACAGCTTAAAGACCCAGATGCTACATTCTGGTCTGTTGAAGAGTCCTTCCTGAAACTTCAAGAGGGTTTGAGTCAGAGTCAGACCTGAACCATCTTAGAAGTAATAAAATTTAGACTTAAGTTGCGTGTTAGAGTCGAGCCAAAATCTCCCAACTGTCCTGTGAGCATCTGGCTTTTGGGGGTCACAGTTGAACAACGCCATCAATCTATTGTGAGTCACTGTCTTAATTTTCAGAAGTTACTAACACAGAAGTCGAACTTCACAATGACTTGTTACTATTGAAGAGAGGTGTCGTGGTTTAAACCCAGTCAGGTAACTCGTTAACTCACACCCCCCCCCCCCTTCTTTCCCTCCCCCTAAAATCAAATTCCCTTGAGGTGAACCCAGGACAAGAGGCTAAACACAGCTACCCTCAAGGGAGACTCTTTCTGCTTCGCCTTTCAGTGGACAGCTCACCAACTCACACACAGCTGCCACAGTACAGGGGATTCAGGGATAAAGTTTTGCTCTGTCTCTCTGTTACCCTGTATGGAACCTCAGTTATTCATCCAGACATACCTCTATCTCCTAGCGTTTTGCAAGCTTCTGTACCACTGCTGATCAGCTCAGTACAGTTAGAAGGATACTCATCCCCCTGCATAGCTGGCTCCAAAACACACTGGCTGTCTTCAAGAAACTTGTTTATCCTGACCTTTTTCTCCCTTTGTTTTTGGTTCTTGCACAGTGACATCAGACACAAAGAAAGCAGACAGTTCCCCCTATTAGACCAGCCACCACCTGGACGCCTTTGGGAGCAAACTACAAGAAAAAAAAACAACACGTTAGCAATGTGCATCTTGCACTAATTACTTGCTCTGTATGTGCAGCACACCCCACTGTACACGCTCCAGTAAGTGAAGCCGGTCACATTTCTTCCACTGGATGTCAGTAGTTGAAGAAACAGCTTGAAAGGGAAAGACAGCTCTGGATGGAATTTGGGAGAAAATAAAATACCATTTTAAAGTACAAAAGAGGCAAGGCAGAAGCACCAGCTCCTCATTTGTGCACACCTCAGACACTAAAGAACAGAAAACAGATTGGATATTGGCAGGGTTTGCTCCTGTACATGTGTTTTGCATGGAAAGGCAAACTACCAGAAAGTCCAATGCACTATCTCTGGTCAATCTACCTGTCACTGCAATTCTTTAAATCCATAGGATGTAAGGAGCACTGCACCCTTTCCAAGATGCGTGGTACAGGGCAATCCAGCTGTTGCTGGGCTACGACTTGACAGGTTCTCACCATCAGCTGAGGGGTACTGGTGTGGTGTAACGGCTCAGGGATGAACCATAGCTTGCTGGAACATTTGTCCTTTTCCCCCTCTTTCCTTTCTTCAGCTACTTTCACAAACAGATATTTCTTTTTCTCCCAAAAGTACATTGCTGCCTTCATCCTGCAAACTCAGGGCAAGCTTTGCCTTTTTTGCGCCAAAACTACATGGATGAATCCGAGTTTTGCTTCCAAACATGTCCTGGGTTAAGCAGTACCAGGCATTTTTCTCCTTCTTAGTAGCTGGTGCAGTGCTGTGGTTTTGACTTTCAGCCTGGGAACAACGCTGATAACACCGATGTTTTTAGTTGTTCCTACGTAATGTTTACTCTGACCAAGGACTTTGTGAGTCTCATGCTCTGCCAGGGAGGAGGGGAAGCCGTGAGGAAGCAGGGACAGGACACCTGACCCAAACTAGCCAAAGAGGTATTCCATACCACTGCACGTCATGCCCAGTATGTAAACGGGGGGCAGTTACCCAGAAGGGCTAGACCACTTCTCGGGTCAGGCTGGGTATTGATCAGCAGGTGGTGAGTGGTGGTATTCTCTTCCCTTGTTATTTCCATTATCATTATTATTATTGGTGGTAGCAGTAGTGGTTTGTGTTATACCTTAGTTACTGGACTGTTCTTATCTCAGCCCATGGGAGTTACATTCTTTTAGTTCTCCTCCTCATCCCTCCCGGAGCAGGAGGGAAGAAGAAAGGCGGAGGGAGGAGCGAGCAGGCGGCTGCATGGTTGTGAGTTAATGGCTGGGTTTAAACCACCACAGCTCTTTGTGGCGCCCAATGTGGGGCACAAAGGGTTGAGGTAACAACAGATCTGACCAGAGTGTGTCTAATTGTATTTGTGATAAGCATTCATTGTTTTGGATTAATAGTCACTTGTTACAATGCTGATTTATTGGCTCTCAAAGTTGTTGCTCTTCATCTTGGAGTTTCAGAATACCTTACTTTCAGCTGGTATTTGCTGTGTTAGTATTTATCAGCTGGGGACCTTGGCCTAAGGTTTTTGTTTCATTGTACTGTATGGTAATTACTTGTAATACAATAGACTCATTGATCATGAAACTGATCTGGCTTGTGTTCCCAGTGTGGTCACCATCTCTATACTTTGGGAGGTATATAATGGAAGTGTTTAGCAATTACACATCTTTTTTCCCTTCTCAGGTGGTCACCCTATGAAGGAGACATTCCATTATGCTCCCAGCTCCCCCACCAGACCATTTACAGCATCATTTGAGAGTTCTGAAGGTTTTGTCTGGCCTTTGGGTACCCTTGAGACCTGCCTGCTGATTGTGATGGGTATCCTGGGTTCAGCAGTAGCAGTCATGTTTTTTCCTTTGTGTTAACTGGTGCAGTGCTGTGTTTTGACTTCTAGTTTGAGAACAGTGTTGGTGAAGCCGATGTTTTCGGTTGTTGCTGGGTGATGTTTACCCTGACCAAGGACTCTGTGAGGCTCATGCTCTGCCAGGGAGGAGGGGAGGCTGTGAGGAAGCAGAGACGGGGCGCCTGACCCGGGCTAGCCGGGGAGGTATTCCATACCACAGCACGTCATGCCCGGGGTGGGGGGTAACTGGGAGTTACCCGGAAGGACAGGGGCTTCCGGGTGGAACTCGCTTTCTTGGCCGGTGGTATCGTATTCTCTTCTCTTGTTATTTTCCCTTATCATTGTTTTAGCTGATAGTAGCGGTGGTGATTTGTTGCTGGACTGTTCTTGTCTCAACCCGTAGGAGTTGCACTCTCTCGATCCTCCTCCCCGTTCCTCCGGGAGCGGGGAAGGGGAGAGCCCTGGTGCAGGGGGGGGGGGGAGACGGACACGGACCTTGATTGTTGTCAGCTCGGCACCACTCACTGGGAGTGAGTGAACAAGTTACCTGACTGGGTTTAAACCACGACAGTTCTTTTTGGCGCCCAACGTGGGGCACGAGGGGTTGAGATAAGAACAGATCTGACTGGATTGATAGTCACTCGTCACAATGCTGATTTATTGGCTCTCAAGGTTTTTCCTCTTGATCTCACAGTTTCAGTATATCATATCTTACGTCCATCCGGTATTGGCTGTATTAGTGTTTTTCAAGTGTGGGGCTTGGGCTAAGGTTTTTATCCCATTGTACTTTATGGTAATGACTTGTAATACAATAGAATCATTGATCATGAAACTGATCTGGCTTATGTTCCCAGTGTGGTCACCACCTTTATACTTTGGGAGGTATATGATGGAGGTGCTTAGCAATTACACATCTTTTTTCTCCTTCTCAGGTGCTCAACCTGTGAAGGAGACATCCTTTTACCCTCCTAGTCGTCCCCCCAGACCATTTACATTTGAGAGTTTTGAATTTTTTGAATGGCCTTTTAATGCTGTTGAGACTTGTTTGCTGATGGTGATGGGAATCACCATGCTAACACGCATACAGAGTGTGTTTTGCCCACTACTGATTTCAAGAGTTAAGCAGATTCAGGTTTGGGTCTTGTCTGGGGTCAAACGACGATGTAGGAGGACCGAGAGATTTTCCCAGAGGCTGGACAGCCATGAGTGGCAGGGTGTGTGGGACAGTATGGGCAAGTATCTAGGTCAGTGGGCCCCTCCAGTATTTTGGAATTTCACTACCGAACAACTGCAAAATCCAGAAGAATTAGTAAAACACTTAAATGAGGTGTGTGGTCATTCTGGCCATACCAGAGATGGACAAATCACGGCAACGTGCTGGGGCTTGGCCTATGCTTACAGGGCCTTGTTCAACACTATCCAGCACCTTCAAAAGGAAAAGAATGTCGGCGGATTTGAGGGCAAAGCGACAGTCGCTACTCAAACTTTGGCTGCAATGAACTGCGCAGCTACCCCAGTGGCAAGTACAGCAGCTGCTCAAACTTCAACTGCAACAGACAGCGCGGTTACCCCAGCTCCAAGCACGGTAGCTACACCACCCCCAGCAACAAGTACAGTCGCTACTCAAACCACAGTGATAATCACTGCAGCCAAACCAGAGGACCAATTCGTACCAATATCAGTTGCCCCTGTACGCAAGAGAACAAGCAAAAAGGAGGCAAAAAGGGTGAAGCGAGATGAAGAACCAATGAATTCACCACCCGGTCCAGAATCTGATCAGGAGTCATCATCACATGACGAAGAAGAAGAAGAAGAGGTAACTTCTCGACCTCGGACCTCAACCGAGCTGCGGAATATGCGAAAAGATTTTACTCGTCAACCAGGGGAGCACATCATCACCTGGTTACTCCGATGCTGGGACAATGGGGCCGATGGTCACGAACTAGAAGGTACAGAAGCCAAGCAGCTGGGATCACTTGCTAGAGAAGGGGGAATTGACAAAGCAATTGCAAGAGAGAAAAAGTCCCTCAGCCTTTGGAGGAGGCTCTTGGCAGCTGTGAAAGAAAGGTTTCCGTACAAGGACGATGTTACGAGTCATTCGGCCAAGTGGACTACTATAGACAAAGGCATCCAGTCTCTGAGGGAATCGGCCATCGTAGAGATGATCTATCACATCAAGCCGAATAACGGGGATACACCTATAGATCCAGATGAAGTTGAATGTACACGACCCATGTGGCGAAAACTTACACGGAATGCACCGTCATCATATGCCCATTCATTGGCAACAGTGACCTGGAATGACATAGTACCACTAACAGTGGATGAAATGGTTCATAAACTCTTAGAGTTTGAAGACAATCTCACTTCTTCCATCATCTCAGCTGTGGAAAAACTGTCCCAGGACCTCGACAAATTGAGGGACGATCTATCTGATTTATCCAGCTCCTCACGTGTACCAACACATGTCTCAGCTATTAACAAAAGACGTCCTATTGTTCAAGAGAGGAGATACAGAAGGTATACGCCACGGGGTACCCTATGGTTTTACCTGCTGGATCACGGAGAAGACATGACAAAGTGGGATGGAAAACCTACTTCAGCTTTGGAGGAACGGGTGAGTGAACTGAAGAGGGGAGCAAGGGCCAAGACTGATCGTCCCATGAGAGCTACGGCTTCAGTCTCTGGTGAGCAGTTTCCCAGATGGAGTGGAAGAGCTGATTTTACTCCAGCTCCTGTGATAACGAAGAATAATCCCTTTCAACACGACTTAAGTGTCCAATGCTGTGACGACCATTAGAGGGGCCCTGCCTCCAGCCAGGTGGAGGTAGGGGACAATCAGATTTACTGGACTGTGTGGATCAGATGGCCTGGCACATCAGTCCCACAGAAGTATAAGGCTCTAGTAGATACCGGTGCACAGTGTACCCTGATGCCATCAAGCTGTCAAGGGGTGGAACCCATCTATATTTCTGGAGTAACAGGAGGATCCCAAGAGTTGACTGTGCTGGAGGCTGAAATCAGCCTTACTGGGAGGGAGTGGCAAAAGCACCCTATTGTGACTGGTCCAGAGGTTCCATGCATCCTCGGCATAGACTACCTCAAGAGAGGGTACTTCAAAGACCCAAAAGGGTACTGATGGGCTTTTGGTATTGCTGCTGTGGAGACTGAGGAAATTGAGCAGCTGTCCACCTTGCCTGGTCTCTCAGAAGATCCCTCTGCTGTGGGGTTGCTGAAAGTTGAAGAAAAACAAGTGCCAATTGCGACCACAACAGTGCACCGGCGGCAATATCGCACCAACCGAGACTCCCTGATTCCCATCCATCAGCTGATCCGTAGACTGGAGAGTCAGGGGGTGATCAGCAGGACCCGCTCACCCTTCAATAGCCCCATATGGCCAGTGCGAAAGTCTAATGGAGAATGGAGACTAACAGTAGACTATCGTGGCCTGAATGAAGTCACACCACCATTGAGTGCTGCCGTACCGGACATGCTAGAACTTCAGTATGAACTAGAGTCAAAGGCAGCCAAGTGGTATGCCACGATTGATATTGCCAATGCATTTTTCTCCATTCCTTTGGCAGCAGAGTGCAGGCCACAGTTTGCTTTTACTTGGAGGGGTGTCCAGTTCACTTGGAACCGACTGCCCCAGGGGTGGAAACACAGCCCTACCATTTGCCATGGACTGATCCAGACTGCACTGGAACAGGGGCAAGCTCCAGAACACCTGCAATACATTGATGACATTATTGTGTGGGGCGATACAGCGGAAGAAGTCTTTGAGAAAGGGAGGAAAATAATCCAAATCCTGCTGAAAGCTGGTTTTGCCATAAAACGGACTAAGGTCAAGGGACCTGCACAGGAGATTCAATTTTGGGGAATAAAATGGCAAGATGGACGTAGACAGATCCCCACAGATGTGATCAACAAGATAACAGCAATGTCTCCACCAACTAATAAGAAAGAAACGCAAGC